CTTCGTTGTTCGTTGTTCGCTTTGCTGTTAAACACGAACTGATTGCTTGCGCCGTTTGCCTGGCTGTAGTCCATCTAACTGTAAATGTTCGTGTCTGCATTCGTGTGTTCCTTCGGCCGAGGAACGAAACAGCGAAGCAGTTTAAGAGAGCCGCGCTGTGTGTGGGTGGCGGCAAGCAAGAGAGCGCCAGCAGCAAAACGATACGAAACGAACTGGAACGCTGAGCTGCAATTGAGCTATTAAACGTTTCATTGCCACGCGTTTCGCTGCAACTATGATATTATTATTTGTTAATTAAATTGAAGTTGAATGAATATTTTTATTAAATATTATTTAAGCTGTTGCTTTTCGCTTGCAGCTGTCTCTCTCTTTTTCTCTCTCTCTTTCGTTGTATACTCTGCGCCTGCTCAGCTCTTGCGCTCTACTCTCTTTGGCGCTGCTTTTGCTTTCAATATTGAAGAAGGCTTTCAATTTTGCTAGCTGTGGCGCGCGCTCTTCCTCAGCAAACTGCAGAGAAATAGAGAGCGGGAGAGCGGGTGTAAGAATGAGAGTGCGCTTGTGTGTCTCGTTGCATTTCATTTCGTTTCGTTTCCGTTTTGGGCTTTGCTTTGCTGTAGACTGCTTTAAAGCTTAAACTTTTCATTTGGCCTTTTGTTGTTCCTGTTCGCATTGTTGTTTGTTTCGTGTTTTCTGTTGTGCCGCAGCGTGCAACAGGTTCAGGCTAACACCCCCACCCCCCACACTCCCTTTTGGACGGCTTCTTTTTGGAGCTCTCATTCTCGTTCGTTCCTATTTATATTTATTTGCAGTTTCATGTTGTTCCTCTTCCGCTGCTGCTTCTGCTTCTTCTTCTTCTTGTATGTAAATACAAGCAAACGAAATCGTTTTCTGCACGCTTTGACTTTGCCTTAAATGTTGAAATAAACATGTGTATGTGTCTCAGTGTGTGTGTGTGTGTATGTGTGTAGTCGTGTATAAATGAATTTGCATATAATTGTTTGCATGCTGAGTGCCTTTTAATTGATTTTATTGGTTTGCACAACAAAAACGAAAACAACAACAACAACAACAAGTGAGAACGTTCCATGCGAGCATAATTGACTGCGAAATACTCTGTTACCAATAAGTAATCTGATATCGATGCTTGAAGGAGGTTCCTAGTAATATATCTGACAAGTTTGAGAGTGAATTTCTTGGGGGCTGATGTGGGCGTGGTCGTAAAAAAAATATTAGAGGAAGTTACAAGTAATCTATCTTTCAAGTTTGGTAAATTTGACTCTTATATTACGGGAGAGATGGGCTTTTACCGTTTTTTATGGGCGAAAGAGGGCGTGGTCAGCGTTTTGAAGAGTGTTACCAACAACACACCTTTCAAATTGCTCAAAACAAATATACTCTTTTAACCTTCTGTAGCAGAGCATAAACAACATTTCTTGTATTTTTCGCATTTAATCGCGTGAGGAATTATCTTCATCTATTCAGTTTTGCTTTATTTACTTGCACTTCAATTTGTACACACTAACACACACACACACTCTAATACACAATCTGGATAATTATGCAATTTATTTGCTGCATTTGTTTTTATTTAGGTCGTCAAATTTTGTGGCCACAAATCGTAATAACAAAAGACTGGTAATAATAATAAATACAACAATAAAAATAAATATGCATAGAAGTGAAAATCAATAATGCGGATTATGCAAAAATTGTATTGCACTTGACAGCACAAATTATTCAGATTATTTGGATTATAAGAAAATGTCTCTGAGAATATTTGAATGCATAATTTGAACACTAAGTGTTGACTTGGCTCTACAATTCTTATATCGCAATTAAGCAGAAGAGCTAAAGTTAAGTTTAACTAACTTAAAAACTGGCAAAAAAACCAAACCAAATTAATAATTAACAATGCTCTAGTCGAGAGTGCTCGAGGCAAAAATGCAGCTGTTAAATGCTTAACCAGCTGGCTGATTGTATTTTAGCCAAAATACACATTGAGAAATGAATTTAATTAATTATAAGCGTGGACAGTAAAATAGGTGATAGATATATATAGATATAATTGGTAAATATGGCTATATTGTTTCTTAATGAAAATCAGAAATCTTCGTCTTCTTTATTAAAAATTAAAATTAAAATTAATAATACTTTCAGTTCTCTATTCAGTGCAGTAAATCGATTTGTATCGACATAAGCGAAACGGATGCAGTTATCGATAAGAATTGAGTAAACTAATCTTCAGCTATTATAGTCTCTGAGATTAGCTTGCTTAAGCAGACAGACAGACGGATATGTCGACATCAACTCGGTTGTTCATCAATATACATGCCTTATAGCCTAGCAGTTACTTTATTTATCCTGTTGCCTTCTCTGCACAACTTTAGTAAATGTTTTTACCATTTTTGTCCTTTTTAGTTGGTTTAAAGACAGCCAACAACTGTAATTAGCCGCTAATGAGTTATGACCCAAAAAGAAAGGCGGAGCCTATCTCTCCCAGCGAGAGAGAGAGGGCGGAGTGGTAGATGGAGGAGGGGTGGAGTAACCAAAGCAACCCGTGCAACCCGTGCAACGCATTCATTCAAGCCATTCAAAACTCTGCATTTGGAGTCCGAGCTTGCTAATCAAAAAGTGCGATTCATTTGGCTGGGTTTTTGACTAAAAATGGGGCCGCTGTCTGAGTGTCTGTTTGTCAGCGACAGACGGCCAGTGGCATGTGGCAAGTGGGCGTGGCACTTGCTGCCTGGTGTCAATGACTGCTGCTGCTGCCACAGCTGTCCCTGTCCTGTTGTACACTCAAAAAAAATAAACATTTATAAAATGTATGGTTTAGATATATTAGAAAATATTTCTAATAAAGTAAAGCTAACATAGTTTGATAACTGTATAAATTTTAGAAATATGTGATATCAAGAAAATCTTTATATTTTTTAGGGCGATTTACATTAAAGAATTTTCACTTTATCCCTTTCTTGATACTTAGAAATGCATTGCTTAATAATTGAAAATATTTCCATAAATATTTAAAAAAAATAGAAAACGTTTTCTCATATCTAGAAATTATTGCTAAGAACCAGATAATTTGTAAGTAGACTTTTTTGTGAGTGTCGTTGTAAGGTGATAATAATCAGACAGGCAGTTTTAACAAGACACACGCCCCGTCCCCCCACAGCTTGGGGGCGTGCAGCATGGTAATCCATCTTCTGCCTTGACAATGGTTGCCAGGCAGCAGCTCCAACTCCAACTCGGAGTCCAGGTCGGCGTCCAACTCTGACTCTGCGGGAACTAAATCCAGCAAAAGAAACTAGATACAAATATCTTTGCCAGCTGACTCTGACTGTACTTTATGTGTGTATGTGTGTGTGTGTGTGTGTATAGATGTGTGTATAGATGTGTGTATGTATGGGTGTGTGTGGCCTTTAGTGTAATTATGGTGGTATCATAGGAGACATGTCGTTGACAAGCTCAAGTTGGGCCAGTCATTCACTTCCTTTATATCTCAACTGAACTTGGGTTGGGGGCGGGGCACAATCACATACACACACACACACACAGATTAGTAACCACCATAAAATACACGCAGTGCCAACACACACACACCCACACACACTCGCACACAGACACACTCGCAGATTGCTCAATGGGTGGGCCATAAAACAGGTCCGCATGTGTCCAAGTTCGTAAAGTTGATTCATTCATGGCTGAAATTTATATGGCCATGACGCGTGCGGCTTTCCCAACTACCCCTCTTTCTCCTCCTCCTCCCCCTCCTCCTCCTCCCCTACCCAGTCTCTTCCTCAGGCTCATCCTATGCAGAACTATAAAAACAACAAAGAATCCGGTCGTGCCTAAAACGACTGTGCCCTACTCTGTTTCTCAAAGACGAAGCTGGTTAAAGAGATTCTGTTTTTGGCATAAAATTAATGTGGAAAAAGTAAGTATGTTTTTGTTGCGTATATTTCAAATGTTTAAAGCTGTAGCTCCAAAATAGATAATCAAAAATGTGCCTCTCTCAGTACAAAATAAAATAAAAAGTGTTGTAAAAAATAAAGGAAAGGAAGGAGCTCATAAGTCATATGCCTTACAAATAGCTCTATTTCGATGATATGCTTTGAGGCTATATTTCGTATCTGTCAAAATCGCCAGATTCAGCGACTGATTGTGTATAGTTATAGTTGGCTGATTTCTCAGTGTGCAAGGGCCAAGAGCCCCTTAAGTATTCAAAGTCGATTCACACTTTTAGGTAATGTATACAAATAATACATATATACGAGTATATATGTCTGCTGTCCCTCACTAGGCCAATATACCCTCTTCCACCATTGCGAACAGAGCATGAGCAACTAAAACTAACTACAGCGGTCTGCTGCTGATGCGAATTCTGATTTGGATGCTGATGATGATGCCGCTGACAACGACGATGACGATGGAGCTAATGTCGCCTCTCTGCTCCTCTATCTCTCTCTCTCTCTCTCTTTCTCCGTCAATCTAACTATCTCCCCGTCTCTTCCTTGGCTAGTCCTGCTGGGCGCCGCAGGATGCCAGCGAGCCGTTTTGAGTCAAATGATTTATCTCACAGTCAGCGTCGAAATTGTTGCCACTGCTTGTAGCACGTTGAACGTTGCACGTTGAACATTTGCGCGTTGCATCTTGGCTTGTAGTGCGGCCTATTTGCGCTGCGCTGCCAATTAGTCTATCAGTCGCCAGCGACAGTGATGCGGCAGCTGCCTCGAGGCTGTTGCCTTCACGGCTCTTCTGCCACAAAGCGCTGCAAGTCAAATTCAATTGTTGAGTGTTGAGCAGCATTCGCTTTTGGCTTTAATCATAAATTATATTTGCTGACAGGTATTCTTTGAATATATTGGGCCAATTGTCTCATTCGATTTGAAAATCATTGTTCTATCATGAAAAAAAAGAAAAATCCCACTTCAATTTAAGATTTTTCTTTTCTATTTTAAGAAATTATTTCTAAAACTTTAGTTTCTTTATTTTTTCTTTAACTTAGGTAGATTTTCTAAATTTAAAGTAGTTTATTTTCTCTGAGTGTAGGTTCTCGATTTACTGTATTGTATTACTAGTTCATCGCTGCACGCTTCTTTCTGCGAGCGATTCGCGCCAATTCCTGCGGCGTGGGACGGTGTTCACTGTACCGCTCCACCCAGGCGGCTGCAGTTTTGTAGAACTTGGCGGGATCGCTGACAAACTGTTTGGTAATATCCAGACTATAGGGATTCTCCGGCTGCGGATCATTGATGGTCGCCACGAGCACTTGGAGAACGTGATCGATGCGAGTCGTTGGCTTCCAATGCTCCGCCTCCAAAATGGGCAGACAAACCTGTCCGCGCTCGTTCACATTCGGATGATAGATCTTCGTGTTGATGTGGAGAGTCGGCGGCTTAAACGGATAATCCTTGGCAAAGTCAATTTCCAGCTTAAAAGCGCCCATGTCATATGGCGATGTATTTGGCATCAATAGAGCCGTCCACTTGTAAATGTTGTCCTTTTGCGGTTCGAGCAACTGTAGCTGATCCAGCTCCTTGAGGCCCAGGCTCAACATGAACTTGAGCTCATTCTGCATGCGCTTGGGTCCATCCATAATTGGTTCCTCCCTGTTCATTTTCACAGACGTATATTTTCTTTTTTTTGGGTAAAAATAAAACCAATATATACAAGAGAAAAATAGAATATGAAATAGAAATAGAAAGAAAGCAAGAAAATCTCGCTCTGTGCTTTTCACATTTGACATTAATCCCCCCGAAATAGCCGCTTAAGGAGTCTGTTGCCCCATTGATGTAGACAGGCACTGACAGCCGGCACATTAGGATCAATGTGGCAGCGTGGCTGAAAGCTTCCACGTGCAGCTGCCTCAAGTTGCCGGTCCATGTCCCTGCCTCTGCCCCTGCGCCTGCCACTGAATGAATGCACATGGATTTTGGCACGGATTTGTGGCGCAATTTTCAAGCGATTGACAGCTGGTTTTGAGCTCTTGATTGTGATTGCCATTGACATTATAGTTTTCAATTAGCTGAGCATGTGCCGCATGCCCCACATGCCTCACATACACCTAGCTGTTGCTGTTCAACTCCCAAGCACAGCTGCCGCATTTCCAAACGCAGCTCATAAATATGTTAAGATTGCCCAAAAAGCATAATAAAACCCACTCAAAAGGAAATCAACAACCTTGACAGCATAAACCTGCCTCCACACACACACACCAACACACACACACACACCAGAACACATGCACACACTCAGCCCCAACCCCCTCAGTTATGCTTTGCTTTTGCTAACAAAAACATGAAAATTAAATATCAAAAATATGCGACGCAAATGAACAAAAACAACATCAACAAGCGAAACGACAACAACAACTAAAGTTTGTTGTGCGTACGTGTGTGTGTATGTGTGTGTAATTATTTATGTTGTATGTCATCATGATGTAAATGAAACCAAGACAAACGAGGCAGCACATCTTGGCCATGGAAACTTGCCCGGAAACGCAGCATGACGTGCCTACTAAAGATGCTCGACATAATTAGGATATATATTTATATATATAAATACAGAGATACATAATATATACATATATATATGTATATACTTTTTTTTATATATATCCTTATACGTGCGTGGGTGTGAATTAAATAAAAAGCCAACAGCAGCAGAATATAGTCGAGTTGGACATGACCTGTAAATACTTTGAATACTTCAACCTCAACTTCAAATTCAACTTGAACTGGATTCTTGAATATTTATGCGCAACACTTTAACCAATTCGATTAATCAGTGTTATCGATAACATGTCAGTGCCCCAAATGCCCCACAACTATGCAAGGCCGGCAAGATAAATGCCCAGCTAGGAAACTACCAAAAAAATGTGGCAGCCAAGGCGTCGCTGACAGCACTGCGGGATGCCCAAGCGTCTCCTGGTCTGAAACTGTCTGGAACTGCGTGGGTGGGCCGTGGGTACACTCAGAAAAAATATGGTTAATCTTTGTAAAATGTAAATGTACCTTCCTTTTTGAGAGCGTGACTAACATTCCTAGCCATGAAGATATAAGTTACAGGCTGAAGAAAGTATCTATGAACCCGCAAAGTATGCAGATACCTGATTAGCATTAACAGTCGAGGCGATTTGGCGATTATGAAAACTGTTTATCACATAAAAAGCTGCGTAAGAAGAGCATTTATTTTTCGGAGTGTACACAGTGTTAGTATAAAGCTGCGCCGCCGGCATCAAAGTATCCGCCATACTTTTAGCATAAACAGCCGGAAGCGGAAATGTAGATGACGCTCAGCGCCCACTCATACACATATATATACATGCGAATGTGTGTGTGTGTGTGTGAGTGAGGGTCTTGTCTGCCTGCAGCTTTAGCCAGCGCCTGCTGTCATTGCCACACTCCATCTCCAACCGCCCCTCATCCCCCGCTGGCATTTCTGTCATTTGTTTAGCTGTCATTGCCGGGCGTATTTGCACTGACAGCTCTCGCTGAGCTGAAACGCTGGCGATTGGGTTGCTTTTTTTGCGAGAGAGGGAGGGGTTTTTGCGTTTCCGAATCAGGAATCCGCATCAGTTTCAGTTGGCGTTGGCGCCAAGGCGCTGGGCCAAAGGCAGCCACAAACTTTTCCAATGGCAATGAAAAATCACCCAAAAATTAGCAGCCGCCGCATTAAATCTAATCTGATCCGATTTTCTATTACCAATTGGCTGCTTTGAGTGGGCCTGCTGTGTGTGTGTGTGTGTGTATCTTCTTGTCTGCTGTGTGAATTATCGCCCCCTTCTCACCCATACCCCCTTTGATTCCATGTGTGCACTTTAATCTTTTTATCGCACTCAAACACTTTGTGTGCCTTAATTTTTTGGCCAGACTTTCACGCCTTTTGTTCCACGGTGAATGCGGCCTTCATTAGCGCGAAATACGTCGCGTGCGGCTTTTAGCCTTTTTTTTGGCTTTTCTTCTTGCTGCCCATTTCCATTTCCGGCTTGTCATCGACCCTTTCGGGCTGCCTTGCCTTGTCCGTGATATATGGGTAGCGATTAACATTAAAGGTGCCTAATTGATTTGGGCAGCTTCATCGGCCTCACTTTAGGGCTTAACTTGACCCTCGCGGTCACTCAGTGGCTCTCCCTTGACCCACTCAACCACCCAACCACCCACTTATCCAACCACCCGGCCACAGTGGATGGCAAAATAAATTTTCATTAAGAAATTATCGCTTGTGTTACTTAAATTTAAATGAGTTATATATGCTTTATCATAAAGTAAATAGCGACATGCAACCAAAGCACACACTCACGCACACACACGTACACACACGCACACACATATGCAACAGATTATTTATGACTTCAGTGAATAATGCACCACATCGACGACAAAAAGGAGAGGTAGCAGGAGTAAAAAGGAGACTGTTGCAGCAACCGAGCTCTCGTATAATTTTAAATTGCATGAAGTAAATAAGAGCAAAGTACACACACCTAACCGCGCACACACACACACACACACACGCACACACATACACAGAGAGAGACTCCTTGTGCCTATGACTTTTAGTTCAGGGCTGCACATCATTTTGTAAAATGGAACCGCTTTGCAAGTGAGCTGAGCTGAACTGTTTGTAATAGTTGGCTAATGCATTTTGAGGCAAGTAACGAATGAGAGCGGGGCAACATCAGCTTGATAGTGTTCAAGAACAATAATATTAAAGTGAGCATTACAAATGAGAGAAGTGGATTGGTAGACTTACTCATATAAAAATATTATTTTTTTAATGATCCATTAATATCAGTCAGCACGAAAAAATAAATAAAATTGAAAATATTCGAATATTTATGCTTTTCAAGTACTAAATTCAATATTTAAGTTTAAAAATACAGTTCCTATATACATAAACTTTAACCACTTTAATTTGGCCACAAAAGTAACAAAAGAAATTCACTTGAACGATTTGCATACTGAAATAAAAGATCCTTAAAGCCAAACGAAGTGACTAACGACTTAACAGTTCTGTGCCACAAAAAGAACTGGTTCAGCGGAGTCAAAGCGTGAACCAATTCCAAAACAGAATGGCTTTTTCTGATTTTCTTCCTTTTTTTTGCAGTGTGCTTTTGTGCCGCCAATGGGAATCATCTCGTTCGCTATTGAGGGCGGATTAATCGGGCTCACTTTGTCATAAATAATGCAAGCTGAGTGGAATACAGGCATCAACACACACACACACACACATACACACACGCTGTGCTCAATATGCAGTTAGCAAACGTGGTGCAATTACTGAGAGAACTACAGCTCAGGTCCTGAGCAACGATCTACCGCCTTGCTGCCTTTAGAATGCCTTACTGCCTGCAGAGTGCCTCGCTGCCTTTAAACTGGCTGACTGGCTGACTGCCTGGCGTTTTGCAGTTGACAACGTCATTTGTACTTAATGACTTTGCAACGTTGTGTGCGTGAGCGTCGACATTTTCTTGAGGCCTTTTGCCTGTACTCGCTTATTGCATTAAAACGCAGCCAGCCAAAAGCCAGCCAAAAGCAGAAGCAGCGCCCATAAAACACGCAACGCTGGCAACGTGATGCGTGTGCCTGTTAAGGGAGGGTTGAAGGGGGTTGCTGGGTGAGGGAGAAGGGTAGACTTGTTTCACCTGTTGCAGCGTTTAATTGCAAAACAAGCTGACTGCATTTTGTGGATGCTGCTGATGACAATTTAAGTGCTAGATTGAAACGTGGCACAGAGCAGCAATGGCTTGAAGAACCCAAACTTACACTCAAAAGTTCAACGTGATTTATTTTGATATATTGTTATTTCGAAATCATTTTTGGGTGAACGAAAAAAAAGGAAATGGCTGTAGTCGGTTGAAGAACCTAAAGCATTGCACTTTCAGTGTTACAGTGCAATATTTTCTGAGTGTATGAATATCAATAACGAAAAGCTCAGAAAAAATCGAAATGAAAACTAAAAAGATTTTCTGTTTTTCAAAGGTAAATTTTGAGAAGTACGGTAAAATGCAGAGAACGAAATGTTGGAAAGCTTAAAGCTATTGTTACACTCTATATTAAAGGCTTCTCCTATCTTAAATGATTTTGTATTTGCGAAATCTCAAAATACGAATATTTCATAATAATATAATAAAAAGAAGTTAGAGTTAGTTAGTTCGCTGCAATAGACAACAATTAAAAGACAAACCCCGAACAAATTTAAAATTAAGCAAAGAAAAACACTGTTTTTAAGAAAGAAAGCTGAGCTGCTCTTGGCGATTATATACAATTCAGTTCGATATATATATATATATTTTATTCTTTGCTGAGTATTTGAAGACCCTAAAGCTATTGATATGACCCACATTGGTCTTTCCCAGAGCGGCGGCTAAGCTGTAAGCAACAAATTGCTGCTCATGAGTAAAGCTCATATTTCAGTTGCCAAAACAACTTCAAAGCACATCTTCAAAGTCGGACCAAGGCAGACCCCCCCAAGATAAATCGCTGCTTATGCAACTACAGCCAAATCAATGGCCAGCAACAAAAGGAATATTCTCATATGTATGTGATTGTGTGTGTGTGTGTGCTTGCTTAACATAAAATGTTTAATAAAACACATCTGCCGGGCACATCCCCTGAGCTGAGCAGCTTCACAAAATATTATTATTATATATGAGCCACAGCGGGATTTGTGAGTGAAAATGATTTAAAATATTTTCTTTTGCACAGCGGCTCAAAATGTTTTTGGCCACGTTTAGAATGCCTTTACTCCTCTTCTCTTCTCTCTTTTCTTTGCTCCTCTCTCTTCTCGGCTGTTGGCATAAATGTGTTAGCCAAAGTGTGAGGCTATTAATAATAAAGGAAAAATCTAAAACGAAATTCAATAAGCGTGATTTTGGACAGACACCCGATACGACCCGACAAAACCAACCGGTCAACAAAACAACCCCCTCACTAAACCACCCCCCAACCCTTCTACATCCCCTTACCCCCTCCCCACCCGCACTTGGCGAAATATTTAAGACGGTTGGCCTAAGGATGCCAATAAATCAAAGTGGAAAAAAGGTTACCGAGCAATGTGCGGCATGTGTAGAATTCACTTTTGGACCACGCACAAACAAACAAACACAGACACACACACAAAGACACACACACACAGGCACACACAGAGACACACACACATTCTCAGACTAAAACGCTCAAAGAGTTGGGCGCAATTTGTGTTTGAGTTTGAATCGCTGTCTGCCCTCGAGATACATTTGAAAATAGGTAAGCAATTAAATCGCATATCTGCGAAAATCTGTTGAAAAGTAAACAGTTTGTCTTGATTGATGAATGATTAAATTTAAAAACAGCTTTAAGTTTCCAAATTTAAAAGTAGTCTTCAATTAGATGTCACACATTGATTAAAACGTTTTTGCTTTTGAAAATCGATTGAGTTTTTACTAACGTTATAGATATATATGATTCCATTTCTATGAAGGATTTCTTGAAGTATAATTGTGCTTAGCACCGTAAAAATATCCCACATTGTATTTGCAAGAGATCAGTACGAAACCGCAATACAATTATTTGATGGGGTTCACAAAGAGGAGTTGGTTAATTGATTTTCTTGCACATTTCACTGTGTGGCAGCAAGGGTCACGTGCACAAAGCCACCAAAACAAATGAAATAAAGCAAACACTTGCACTAAAACAATTCAATGAAATTAATGGCAAAAATACACACACTCAGACAGAGAGAGAGAGTGTGGAAAGAAAGTGTCAGAAATCTATGGGCGTGAATTTGACCAATGCAACGTGAGGCAAGGAGCAGCAGCAAGTGCTGGCCAGGGCCAAGATGCATGGCATCTAGCTATAAACGAGTGGGCGTCGTGTAGCAACAACTGTAGGGATGGGTGGGGGTCTGGTGGTTGCGGGTGTGGCGCGTGCTAAGAGCGCAAAGCTTGTAAGCGGCTTAAAGTTCTACAAAGTTTTTCAAGCGCATTCGCCGCCAGTCACCAAAGGCGACGCTTGCTGCAAAAAGTTATGAGTGGCTGTGAATCACACACACACCAACACACACATGTATACTTATAAACATATATATTTTTGTATGTGAAAGCTTGTCGCGGCTCCATTGCAAGCACAACAACACAGCAACAACAAGGCGAAGCAAAAGTGCTTTCGAGTGCCTGGTGTTGGTGTTGGTGTTGAATGTTGCTTGTTGGCCACCTCATCCTCTTCCTCGTCCCCGTCCCCGTCCTTATCCTCATCCTCGGCCTCATCGTCGTTGTCAAGTGAAACGCGCCCATCTGTAGCATGTAAAAGGATTAGGTTCGCTTAATATCATTGATGAGCGGCCAGCTTCTTCCTGCTGCGATTCGACCTACACTCAGCAAAAAAAAAAAAACACCTTGAAAATGTAGAAAATCGGCAAGAGCAGCTCGGCTTTTCATTTATAAAGTAAAGCTTGGATATTTTTTCAAAAACTAACGATATTTTCTTCATATTTCGAGATGTGATCTTTGTAAAACTTAGCAACAATAGTGTGTATTTTTAAAACTGGATTCTGGTTTTATTCTGGTTATACAAAGTAAACTATAAAGAAGTGTTGACAAATATTTGGACGCTTTCGATTTTGAGAATCCAATATATTAATGCGGTTGTGAAAATGAGAAAAATCGAGTAGTTTAGTTAACTATCATTGTGAATCTGTAAAATGAGTTAGATTTTTTTCTGAGTGTGCTGGCCAAAAGTGTTTATAATGACTGCTTTCTATGAGACATTATTGCACTCTGAAAGAGAGAGAAAAGATTTGAGCTGAGCTGCTGAGCAGCTGCTGCATTCTCAGCAGAGCAGCAAGAGCATGATCCATAAGCTCGTGGCATCTAAGAACGGGGCCGAAGAGGCAGCAGGCAGGCGAATTAGCCATCCATTCAATTCAATTCAATTCAATTCAATTCAAGTGCCCTGAAGGTCATTCGCAGCTGCCTAATTAAAAATGCAATGGCCGCCGTTTAAAAAGTAAACAATGCAAAAAACAAGTTATTCTACAAACAGCTTTCAACTTGCCACTGCCACAGCCACAGCCAACAACCTTATGCAAATACTCTTTAAATGCGTAGCAAAAAAAAGCAATGGAAGCAGAGGGAGGAAAAATAAGAAGAGTCTTGTAACAAAACACAAATGTAATGAATATTTACGAATTTGTAAGAACAACGGCAAACTGCAAAACACGTGCGAAATCTCAAAAATATTCCCACACACACACACACACACACCCCAGACCAGGGCGAGCGAGAGAGAGTGAGAGGGGAGATTGCCTTTTGTACGTTTTGTACGCTCGAAAAATTACAGAAAATTTTCATTTAATTATGAAAAAGACGGAAACTCGGGCTATACAGCTGCCAACTTGATTATTTGACAGCCTTCTACGTTTTCCACGTGGTAATTAAAAAGCAAAAAGTTCCAAAAATGTGTGTAGAGTAGCCCTCGATAAGAGTTTGGCAGCCAGGGGATAATCACAACAGTATCTTTACACCAGAGACTTACCCTTTAACAGACACTCGTACACACATACAACCCTTCAAACACACACACACGCACACACACTCACCGGTGTGTCCTTTGGGGAGAGCTGCAATGAAAATGAAAAAAGAACAGAGATGTACTTCAATTAGTTTGCTGCAGTTATTTTGTGGGGTCTTAAGTTTAAGGTCGAATGGGTTTTCCTATTTAAGATGAGAAACAAACTGAACTTTATTCACAGCTAAATGAATAAAGCCCTTTTTGCCCTCACTTAAGCATTTGACAATGATGAAACAAATTGTTTAATAGAATTTCATGAATACGCTGCAGAAATGGAATTAGTTATATACTCGAGAAAGTGAATTTCAACAACTATGTAACTTACACATTGTCAAAAGACATATTTAATAAATTCATTTATTAATTGAGTACGTATTTAGTGAGTAAAAGTTTCAATTATCTTCAATGGAATGTTAGCTGAAGCAAATACAATAAATTGACTGCAAAAATAACAAAAACATATTGCAGACAAAGTTTAGATATTTTCTGAAGAGATATTTAATAAAAATATATTCAATGGAGTGTGTTTTTAAAGAGTCATTGTTTCATTATATATATATATGTTTAATAGAATGTCTGTCAAAGCAAATTTAATAAAAAACGGAGTTTACAACTGAATGACTTCATATTTTATGTAAATACTTCCTAAAAGATAAAGAAGAAGACGATGTCTGCCTAGTCAAAGTGTTGTCAAGTCAAATATATTTCTTTATACGAAAAAGTAAAAACCTTTTTACTTTATACAATTTATTTTCAAGAAATATTTATATTTAATAAATGCTTAAATAGAGTCTGCCGTTGAGTCTGAAATAATTAAATATTTTCTAGAAAAATATTTATTAAATACATGTTCAACTGAATGGGTGAGTTGAAAATTCAAACATGCCTTCTCGCTCTCTCTCTCTCTATATATATATCCCTCTTTCTCTTCCTGTTATGCTTAACTAAGAAAAAGAGGAAGTAGAGGTAGAGGAAGATGAAGTCATTCGACATTCAAAATCAGAGTCAGAGTCAGAGTCAGAGTCTGTCTAGTCAATGTCTTGTCATCGTCAAGTCAAGTCAACATCAATGGGATGTTTGGCTTGATTTGCCATTGCCTGAGCTGGCAATTTGTGTGAGTAAGTCGCTCATATTAACAAAATGTCTAATGAAAGTATTTTGCTGGAAACGGATACTCTGATTCTTGGCTGCCGCCTCAGTCCAGGTCCCCTTTTTGGCTCTAGAAGGAAAAAATCAAATTAGCTGCTTGAATGACGTTGGCAAATGCGCTTGCCGGATTAGCAGAGAGGCGGATGATGGGGAGTGGGCGTGGTAGCTGCTACAGTATGGCCATCAATGCCAGTTTGTGTTTGCCATTTTGTAGCAGTTGCAATTGCTGCTGCTTCTTTTCTGTGATTAATGCTGCATCATGTTTGTGAGCTAATTGCCGACTACCAGTCGAGAGCCAGCCATGAGTTGAAGTTGATGTTGAACAAATCCTGAGGGATTATCTGAAGTGCTTATTGCATTACCCAGTAATGCCAGTTATTTTAGTATTTGTCATAATTATATGGTAGTTGCATCCGTTTGCCCCTTCTGCCATACAACTGGCATATCTAAAATCTCCGCCCTTAAATATTTTCCCCATGCTTTTGAATGTTGCATGAGCCGGCGCACAAAAAATCAGATAGCGCATTTAAAATAAGTAGAAAGCACACAGCGCACGACTGGCTAGATGAGCACAAAAAAACATTGCAAGGAAAACAGAAGCAACAGCAAAAACATTGCACACAGAAAAAAGCTAAGGAGACAAGCTAGAAGGCTGCAGTCGAGAGTGCTCGGCTGGGAGATACTCTGAACTATTATATATAAAATACAATAATGATAGTACTAAGAATTTGTTCCTTTTACGATCTAAATAAACCTTTTGCAGTTATATATCAGTAAGAAATTCCTATCTGTACGATTTATATCGATGTAAGGAAAATGATTAAAGCTATCGAATTAATTGAATCAAATTTAGCTGCTTAAAGTAAAAGAGAATTTATGTTCCGAATTTCAGCCCTCTACCTCCAACAATCTCTGAGATCGATTTCTTTAAACAGACGGACTCGATTGTTGAACCAGATGAAGAATTAATATGCCTTATGGGTTCCGAGATGCCTCCTACCGTCTGTTACCCTTTTTTACACATTTTCAATGGGTGTAGAGTATCAAAATAAAATGCAGCTAAAAACATGCTCGATGCATTAGAGAGAGGGCAGCGGGGGCTGAGGAAGAGGTAGCCTTGTAACTGAAACTGTATCAAGTAAGTGAGCCGCGCCGAGCTGCATAGTGAAAATGCAACTGTGCGGAAAACTGTGCGAACATTTTCATTTTCAATGCAGCTCTTGGCACACAAACAGAGAGAGAGAGAGACAACCGTGCTAGAAACAGACCCAGAAAGACCAACAGCGACAGCAACTGAAACAGAATCAGCATCAGAATCGGAATCAGAACAGCAACAACAACTAGCAAATAGTCAACTTTAAGTACAAACTCCGCACACACAACACACAACACACACGATGCCGCAAGAACTTTCAGTGAATCGCAGAAAATCGCTTAGAAGGCAGCACCAAAAAATAAATAAAAAAATAATACAAAAAAAGGAAAAGAAATGAGTAGAAAAGAAGAAAAATTCGAAGAGTCCCGAACCAAAGCATATGGAGAGAGGCTACAAGAAGTTACCCCTCTGACCCTCCCAAAGCGCCATGCGTCTAACTGTCGAGTGCCGACTTTTCTTTCAATTTGCAACATTTTGTGTTGCCGTTGCACGTTCCCAAAAATAACTTCCGACGTTGGCTGCCTGATTTTTTTCCGCCTTAGTCAACTCGCTGCGAAATTGCAGGAAACATTCTATTTAAAGTTCTATGCCAAAGTTAAGCCACCACCCACACCTCCTTGCTATCAAGGACACACTTAAATAAGGGCACAAAAAGGACACAAGGCCTGGTTAAGGTTAAGCAAAGTAACCAAAATGTATCTGTCTCTATGCATAGGCTCCGCCATAGCCCCCTCCCTTCACTTGGCTGGTGTATCTATTTATGCTTGTGTATAATTTGTTTAAAAAAAAAATCAATTAGCCACGCTGTCCAAAACAGAAGCCCCAACCAGACGCAACTAGCCCCAAAACACACACACAGCCAATAGTTGGTTGGCCCTCGTCGCATTAACAAAATAAACTTTCTCAGCTGCCAATCAGCCCGAGAATGGCCAACGGGCAGCTGAGTGTGTCAGTCTCTCAGTCTCTCAGTCTCCCAGTTAGCCAGTTCGTCAGTCAGTTTGGCTAGCTGGCTAACCAGTTAAGGGAAGCCCACATAAAACTGAGCGAAAATTACAACAATGCTTAGCCCAGGGGCACAGTGGTTGAATTATAAATAGATACGAATCTGAGGTAAATGAATAAATTATAGAGATAAGACAGCAAAAGGATTTATAAGACAACTGGAGAGATGCTAGATTATAATTAGGAAATAAATTTAGTGTAGTTAATAATTATAAGTTAATATAAAAATAAAAAAAAAAATCATAACATGTCAGGATTAACAAAAATGTATATTAGTAAAAGAAATAAATAACCGATAACCGAAGAGAAACCAGATTAAAATTAATTGAGAAAGAGGTAAAAAATGCATGATCGCAAGTGCAAAAGTTGTTTGAGTGATTCAAAGATTTTGGAAGAATCTGTTTCAATACTTATTATTTTGTATAAGCGGAACCATATTCAAAATAACAAATAATATTTAAATTTTAGAATTTTAGTCAAACTGAAGTACAAACTTACTACTAATACAATATGCAAACACATTCTAACATATTATTTACCTTACATCTTTTGCCGTTGGGTGGCATTTGCATGTGAGTAGCCATATTTGTTTAACATTTCGAGTTTACCACTGTGCACATGAGCCATTAACAAAACTTTGTTGCAAAAACCAAACAAAGCCAAAAAAAATCACAAAACTGCGCTTCAATGTTAAACGAATTGTTGTCTTAACTGCTGAGAAGGGGAGACGGGTGGAGGGAGGGGGTAAGGGGTATCTTTACGTGTATCTATAAAAATTGAGGGTGTAGAAGTAGCCCAAAAAGTTAGTGAAATTCATTTTTGGAAAAGTCCAAAATAAGGTAGAGAAATACTAAAAAAAATGAAAACAAAATTCGTGGCGGTTAAAAAAAAAGTTTAAATAACTTTCTCAACTAAATTTAAGTTGCAAGGGGTGAGGGTTGGAAATGCAGTGGAAAGCGAGATGAAGCGAGGTGCCCAGCAACCTAACAGTCGTGACAAAGTTGGGAGCCAGTTGTTCTGGTTGTGTTTTAGTTGTTGTTGTTGTTGCTGCCATTTCTTGCGTACTGATAAAAAGTGCAGCAGACGTAAAACTAATTTGCGTGGTTATGTAAATTAGAGTTGCAGTTGCAGTTGCACAGTCGAGAGTCGGCGATAAACTTGTTGAGGGTGAAGAGCGCTAAAAAAATTGGTGCCAAGCAAATGCGTAAATCTGGGCAGAGAATTGAGCAGAGTTCACCTAGGCAACCATAGAGGAAGGAGAGGTAAGGCGAGAAGAGGTCGGTTTAGTGTGTTCAACTTGTGTGTTTGTGTTTTGTTGCCTCTTAATCCGGAGACCGCAAGCAGATAACCGTATCTCGTTGCACAGACAAAAGACGCCTCCTAACAACTAAATAATGTGCACAAAATTTAGTGCACAAAATGGGGGCAGTTGCAACTGGCAGTGGCAGGGGGCATGTTGCTAACAGACAGCAGTAAGCAGCAAGCAGCATGCCACACATGGCAATGGCAGCCCAGCTGAGATAATTTTTCGTTGAGCAGCAGCAAAACAGTTGTTTAAAAGAGGCAAGTTGCCAGCTTAGGCATATTTTGGGCAAGATAATATTGTGTGTGGGTGTGTGGTAGAGGTGGGGGGGAGGTAGTGTTGCACGAAGCAGACTTACATTGAGGTCTGTCGGCTGCATTGCAACAGGAGCCGCTTCTGAACTCGGCACCTAAAGTCATATTAATAATTTTGTTGGGATTTGAACTTGCCCCACAACCGCAACAACTTGCAGGTTGCAGCTGCAGCTGCTTCTACAACCAACATTTACTGCACACACACACACATTTATCCATCTCGAATATGAGCAGAAGTAATCCTTGGTTACACTTGTTCACCGACTTGTTTTTTCTTTTTTTCCTTGTCTTTTCTTTTTATTTTTGGGTGTGCGTTCAGAGTTTGCAGACACTGTTTACATTTGCAATGCTAACCAGAAATCGGCAGCAAATACTAAATCCTTGAATTCTCTGGGCCTTACTGCAGAGGTGCTCTTAAGTGTGCTTGGATTTATTTCCTATCTTTTATACGTTTGTATTATACTTTTCTCGAATAAAATTGTTTTTATCAGGCTCTGGGCCATGCCTACTTTAACTGATTTAAAAATAATTGGAATTCACTTAATAGCGAATATCTTCTTAAGTTTATTTTTGATTCCAGTTGCGTTATTAATTGCTGATATTTTCATAACATTGTAAGAAAGACTAGAATTTCCCTTCTTTTTTATTACCTTTTATAAATATATTATAATGTGGAATAACTCATTCATCTGTTTTTTTATCAGACTCTGATACAAGCCAAGTACAATTCAAGTTTTACTGAAATTAAAGTGATTTAACTGCACTATTAGTTAATTTTGTTTGTATACACTGGAATACTTTATTCTCGACAAAGCTGCTTTTTTAGCAGTCTCAAAGATTTGCTAAGAACTATTTAAGTTTGTTTGAAATTAACCTGAGTAAAATTGATTAATCATTTATATAACAATTAATTTAGAATAAATTAATAAACTGCTTTGGATCTGCATTTTTGGATGCTGTTCTTTTTATACGCTAAATGACATTACCATTTTGATGATGAAGTGGAATACTCGATTACTCCATTGAACCTTTTTTAAATGCCAAGAAACAAGTTTGTTCAAGTTTACTGCAATTCAGAATACCTCTTTAACCATTTAGAGAAATTTAGTTTTTTTTTTTTAAATCGAACTACATTTTGAACTGCTTGTTTGTTTGTTTGTTTTCTTTTTTATAGCTTGTGCTCTCAGTTGCCTCCCCATCAGCGGCATGCTATGATTATTTCATAGGAACATCAAAACAGCAAATTAGAATGCAACCCACACACAGAGTTCAAACAAATCATTTTTCTTGTGCTGCTTGTGGAACAAATATTTATACCGAATTTCCCACAGATATCGTGAATTGAGTATATGTATGTATATATGTCTGTGTATATATGTGTGTATCGTAGATGCATTCGATATTTCGTTGAGCTATCATTGCCAGCGACTAATTAGTTTGTCACCCCAGCGACACAGAGATTTCCCTCTCTTTCTATCTCCCCCTCTTTCGGTGGCGGTTGGGATATGTGATATGATTAGTGGCAGCTTGTTTACAGAGCCACAGCAACTGCCGCACCACCATCGTCTCCTGTGGGATTTATTTTTAGTTGGCTGCAGTTGGTTTCGATTGGTTTTCGGCTCGATTTTATTTGGCTGCTGCCTGCTAATGACATGCAAATCAAGCTTTCGGGTGGTCCTGGCCAGCAAAACGTTCTTTTCACAGCTGTGTTTAAATATATAAATATTTTTTTTTTTAACAGCTGATTGTTTTATTCAAAAAGGCAGCACGTGCCGCGCAGTGGTGTCGGAGCAGCTATGAAATGTAAATATTTACTATTTACTTTTGCGGCGACGTGAGAAAATCATTAAATCAAGCGGAAACCCGTTTCTCATTTGGCTGGAGTGGGTACAGGTACCAGCAGACCGCAAGAAATAAATCACGGCCTGCATTGCAAAAATCAAAAATGTAATTAGAATTTTTATGATTAAACAAAAAAAGCACTCATAAGGAAAATCAACAAACAAACAAAAAGCTAGCACAGCAAAAAACAAGTGAAATAAACTAAATTGAAATTTGGTTAGTGTCTGTTGGAGATGAAGTCCGCTCAGCCAGTTTTCCGCATAAATGAAATCAAATACATAAAACTGGATAAGCGAAACGAAAACAACTCTGCCAACTTCTACACACAAAAATCACAAAAATGTTGCGTTTGATCCCAAAAAAAAAAAAAATATATATATATATATATATTTATATAGAAAAAGAGGCGACCAACAACTACAATCAAAATGAAACTAATGGCAAAAATTTAAAAAGGTATTTAAAAAGTTTGCAAATGTGGTTGCAGTGGTTGAAATGTGGGCACAAAGTAAATGAAAATAATTCCACATCGCATATTTTTGGTTATTGTTTCGCCAAATGTAAAATAAATTATTTATTAAAGTAAGCTAAAAATCAGAGGTTAGCGTAAAAAAAAAAAAAAAATTGATTAGAAATCAAATGAAAAAGATTTGCCTAATGTCTATTTAAATATTTTGGCACAAATATTTAATTTGTGAAATGGCAAAAACCATAAAATTTTCAGCGTTAAAAAGCTTGATAGAAAGTGTCAACTGTTGCCGTTTGTGTTTTACGGTCCGTGCGATAAGGATTTAAAACTGAATGCAACAAATTGAGGTATAAGTTTTTTATTCCATGAACATAAAATCAGAGTAAAGCAGCTCATCTTACTGTTTTTTTTTAGCTTTAAAGCTATAGCTCTAGTCTTGATATTTAACGAGCGCTACGGGACGCTTATCTATTTGTTAGATGGTCGCGAGTTAATGAGAAAAATGCATACGCATAAAACGATGTCTAGTTCCGGCGCACATAAACCGTGAACCAGCCACCCCCCCGTCTACTGTGGCACACCCCTTACCCTTCTTATTTTTCCACTTGAATTTTACGAGCTCGTCGCCGTCTGTTGCCAGACAGACGCATAAAGCAGACGATCTCTCCGTTGTCCGTAAAATCGTAAAAACAAAATACCAGAGTCTGAAATCACAGTCAGACAACACACACACATCCACACATAGAGAAAAACACCACATTGTCTATTTCTGGTTTCAAATTGTACCAATTTTTAATATGAACTTTAATTATGGTCCGAGTCGAGTCGAGTTGGGTCGAGTCGAGCTGCCAATTTATGACACTTGGCGCTCGTCCAGTGCACATCAAGTTTGGTATATTTATTGGCCAACAAGGCGCTGTCAAATTTATGGCCAAAAGTGTGAAGCTGCCCCCTGCTCCCTCCCCTACTCAAACCCATTTCAGACGGAAAATGCGTTGAATAATTGTGGGTTGCTGGTTGTGATTTGCTTTTATTTTTTCTTTGTTATATCCTGAACCTGGAAATGGGTAAAAGGGGTATAATGGTTTAGTACAATAATAGGTAACAGGCAAAGGAAAGCAGTTTGTAGTTCATAAAGTATATATATTCTTGATCGGAATTAACAGACGAGTCGATTAGCCAAGTTCGTCTGTCTGTCTATATGAGCACGCGGATATCAGAGACAATAAGAGCTAGAGACTTTTAATGTTGAATATATGTACTCTCATAGTTTATTTCATTTTATCGATAGCTGCAGCCGTTTAACGTATATCGATATAAATCAATTTCCGATAGGAAAGAGCTTCAATTTTAGAGGCAAAAGCTACTAAGCCATGTATAATGTACATTGTCATCTTGTTGATCAACGATACAAGTTTAATCAAGATCGAAATAAAAAAAAGCACTGCCCTACTTTGTATTTTACTCTTCACTAAATGTGCCTGACAAAAGAGCATACCCAAGCATGCATACATTTGAGTGAGCAAAACTTTTTAGAACGAAATTTCACAATAAAACTAGAATAGTATATTCAACAGCTAGCTGCAGGATGTCTCATAGTTGAGTTCACTCGACTACAGCTTACTTATTCTTTTTTTCTGTGTGGGGCTGTGGCTTTGGCAACACACTACAAATAAATTTCGTTGGCACTCAAAAAGCGATTTAATTTGCGGTTTTTGTCACAAACGCAACCAAAATTGATAGAAACCCAGTTGAGAATTTCGCAGTTGTTTGAAAATAAATTTAAATCAAAAGCTTGATTGGGAAATGGTGCATTGGGGGAAACAACACAATTTCAAAAGCCCGAAAACCGAGTGTCATTCACAGCGTTGCATGCAACACTTGCATGGAGTGGGTTATGCTTAACAAATAACGCCTGTTCAGAACTTGATAGTGTCTATCGAACCGCTCCAAGTTGCTATTTCCGTTTCCGCTTCCTGTTTCAAATAGGAATTCCAATCGTCGCCAGTTTGATAAGAGTATAACTGATAAGCTAAACAGATCCTGCAGTTGCTGTTCGAATCGATTTAGATATGACTTTGAGATTAGTTGCACATATTCCTGATGCAACTGTTGCAGCTGGTCGAGTGTGCCACAGAGTTGCAGCTGCTCATCGCAATGCTGTGCTGCCTGTTGCAATAGTTGCGCCTGGAAATGTTTGCCAAACTCGAGCAGCAGATCTGTTTTTAGTTGCAACACAATTGCCACTTCTTGTTGGTCACAATTGAGTTGCAGCAACTGTTGCAAGCGATGCACTGTCGTATGCAGCTGCAAACGCACACGAAAGATCTCATTGTATTGTTGCAGTTGCGCCTCGGTGATGATGCCACGCAGCTGCGGGTTGAAGTTGAAGATTAGGGAAAGTTGCGCCAAATTTGCGCTTGGCAATTCTACTTTTAAATCCAGTGGAGCATGTTGAATGTGGAGTATCTGCTGCAGTTGCTCAGCTGCCTTTATGGCAAATCCCTGCTCCAAGCAGCCAAAAGCTATTTCAAGATGCGTGGCATACAAATCAAAATTGTGCAACAAATAAATCGAACGCAGTTGCCGTAAAACTTTGCCCAATTTCAGTTCTTGCAACAGCAAGTGCAACACATAAGTGTTGACCCAGAAGAAACGCTGCTTCAGTTGCCTCTGCAACGTCTCGCAAATGATCTGCTTTAGATCACAGTTCTGGCAACATTTTAGCAACGCCTCAATATTGCAGTAACCCGACTGCTTGAGATCCTGCAACGTCTCCTTGACGTACTTGAAGTAGATGCAACGCAAGTCCCAATCGCTGACTAAGTTTAACTGTTGAAATATCTCTGGGGCAGCAACAGTTGGTTGTGGCATCTCCATTTTATGCTGGTCGAGTTGTTGTGGCTGCTGCAGTTGCACCGATTTGAGCAGCGCGTGATGCAAACTCTGTCGCAACATTAATTCGTGCTGCGCCACAAAATGTGACAATCGCTGCGAGTCACAGAGCCACGCAATTGTTGCACCTGCCTCTTGAATATGCTGCTCAATGATTTTATAAATGGCATTTGGCTTGAGTGGCACGCCAGCAATAGCCTCTCGCATCAGATATGCCGTGTGACCTTTGACCTTTACCCGTTTAAAGCGAAACTCATTGAAGCCGTCCTCAAAGTCGCCGAGCAACCACAAATTATCCAAGCAACGGCAAGGCACCTGCAGCACTTGCAACAGCAGAGCTGCGGCATAGCGACGATGATCTGCGTGTGGCCATGTGGCCAACACTTCCAGGAGACTTGTGACGATGTGTTGACTGCGATAATGTGGCGAATTCTTAAGTTGCAGCTTATAGGATACATAATTGGCCGCCGTTAAACTGCAAAGTGGCTGTAAACGCTTAAAGCTGTTCTGCGTGGCCTGGCGGAAGGAGGCGAGTGTCGCCTTCACTAGCCCCTCTCGGATGCTGCTTGCGTAGTGAGTCAACGTTTCCACAACTGGCATCAGGAGTCGCCTCAGGGCGGCCGTCAAACTGTGCAACATTTCCAACTGCTCCGCTTTGTTATAGCAATCGATGTAGGCGTAGAGGCATTGCATGTGTTGCACTGGCTTCAGCAACTGCTCCACCAGCTGCTGATCGTCGATGTTGTCCACATTTAGCGATTGTGGACGCAGCTGAATCAGTTCGTTCAGCAGCACAAAATGATGACACTCTGCGGGGCGAAAGAACACTTGAAGGGTCTCTTGGATGAAAAAGGATTCGTCGCAATCACAAAACTGGCTCCCTTTCTCGGCAAGATTACGGCTTAAGTACTTGGCAAATCTGTAGCTAAATTGAGCCTTGATGCCAACCTGCTTGGACAACTCCAGCTCCATTTGCTTAACTTGCTGCAGAGCCGGCGGCAGCTGCCACATTCCACACTCACTTCGAGCAGGCGTTGAATTCGCTGAGCTGAGCGCTGTTAAATCAGGGGATTGACTAACTGAATCCTTGCGAGATTCACCCGCCTGCACTTCACTTTGGCGCATGCCAAGCTCCAAGTGCAGAGACCGTTTTAAGCTGTTCAAACTTAAGTGCTTTTTAATTGAGATCTGTTGCGCAGTCTTGTGAGCCAGTGCCAGATCCTTGAGGATCAGCTCGCTGCACTCCAAGTGCGCCTGCTTGTAGAAGCGAGCCACACGAAATGGACAATAATTCACCGATAACATAAAATCGATAATTGCCCACTTGAGCTGCTCGCCAATCTGAAAATCATCGATTATCACATTCGATAACTTTCTGATTGCGTCCGCCAGCACTGGCAACTGTTCATCCCGATATCGATTCACAAATTCACGCAGATTTAGCCAGACTGCAGTGGGCTCAGTCCTGGGTCTTTCGGAATAGATTTGAATCATGTTCATTGCATATTGTAAGGATTTCGTGTACACCTCATTCTCCTCCGGGGAGTCCAGTAATACTTTCACCAGCTGCGGTACATAACGCTCAATCACCTGCGAATAGACGCGCTCTGCCATATCTTATACAAAATATATATATTAAATTTGTATTTCTATCTTTTTGAGAGAGCTTGGCGTATTGAGAGCTGATATTCGCCTGCTTGACTTACGTTTGCCTTAAGCCAAGTGCTCTGCCGGCTTAAGTAAAACTCGAACATGCAAATTCCTGTGGCATGTGGCATGCGGCATACAGGAAAACCAACAACCCAAACACCCGTACAAAACCCGACAAGAACTTTGACACCAGTGACCCATTTCTAGACTGCAGCAATTCCCATATGAGACTCTCTCTCTCTCCATCTCCATCTCCATCTCTTTCTTTGTGTTTGCTTACTCTGGTCTCCATGTCCAATAGTGCATGGGGCACAATGTGCGTACTTTGCTTTATTTTACTGTCTGACAAGATAAATACCAAAATATTGAATATGCAGCAGGCGGCAGCCAAAGAGACTGCTGCAAATAATACACTCAGAAAAATAATTGAAATTTAGAAAATCAAATATAATAATAGATAATAGATAAATTCTATCATATCTTATTTATGCATTTTAGAAAGCATATCTCCCAGAAGTGGAAATGCCTTTCTAATTTTAGGAAATTTTATTACGTAAACTTAAATATTTTTTCTTATTAACAGAAAGCTTTTGATGTTATCAAGATGATTTTCACTTTTCAGAGATGTTCAAAATCTCAGTTCCATTTTTGTTCGTAGTGTATAAATAGTATTTCTCCTATTGCTCGGGCAGGCTACACTGTGTCCATCCATCCAGCATTCTGTGCTCGCTCCAAGACATCTGTCTGTCTTCCCCTCTTCCCTTCCCTGCCTGGCCTTCTCCTTGGCCTTCTCTCTGGCCCATCTGCCCAGGTCCCATCAACTGTGCCACGAACAATAACTCAAATGCAATCGAGCATATTTGCTGCAGAGGCGAACAAATAAACCCAGTTACCTCTACATGCAAGCCACAACACACAAAAATATATGCCACAGTGGGCACCAGGAATGTGTGAACCAACCCACAACAATAAAATATTTGATGTTGCTGCTGCTGGAAATTGAACAAAATCTTAATTGCGACAGCCTAGAAAACTCTCTCAGTTAGCACATAGGCTTCAGAATATTTTCCAACCAACAAAAAAACTTGAAGCAAAAATAGTTGGAGGACTCTTGGCAAAACACAAATGCAGACACTGTCTGTCTGCCTGTCCGTCTGTATGTTGGATTGTGGGTGCGGGTGTGTGTGTGTGTGTGTTGCCAAAACAGCTAGTGAAATCTTTACTAGAAAACAAAAGCTGAAATGTAGAAAAACAAGACAGATTTGTTTGAAGGCAAACTTGAGTTGGGCGACAAAAGTTTTTGTCGCACTCGGCGAAAAGTAAGCGAAAACTTAATAAAGATCGCAGCTGACGGTGGCGTCGAGGCAGCCAGAAAAGGGAACAGGACACACACACAGGCCACACACAGCGCTGACACTGTTTGGTCAGCGGCATTGCTTGAAAACCCAACCACAGACTGTCGAAATTAAACCAAACTAAATTTGCACTTACACTTTGCCGGCACTAGCTCCTTAGAGGAAGACAGGATGAGACAGAGATAGAGAGAGCGAGACAGAGGGAGACAGAGAGTGAGAGAAAGGATCTGTGAGAGGCTGTCGAAATTGTCACTTTCGCAATTTGCTCAGTTGGTGCGGGAAACAATTGTCGGTTGCAGACAGGCAGCAAGCAGCTTGCAACTTGCCGCATGGTGCGCGTCAAGGAGCGCGTAAGTGACATTTATGCGCCTGGACGGCAAACAGCCTCTGCAGCGCCAGCATCTACACTCAGCGAAACAACTGACTTGAAATATACTGACAAATACAGCTGAGCTTATTATGCATTAGTATTTTAACATTTCACATTTATAAAAATTGCTCTTCATTTTATTTTTCGAACTTTCCACTAAACTAAACAGAGCCAATCTGGTTACTTCTTTGGGAATATTAGAATTAATTTTCTAAAATATTGAATTGCTTTTCTAGTTTTGAGAAAACATTTATATCATTCATATCTATATATTTGTATTATTTTCAATATATTATTATTATTTATGTATTTTGATTTCTTTTTAATATATTTAGAAATTATTTTTAGAAACCATGATATTTTGCCAGCTTTCGGGGCCATTTTAGTCTTGTGGCGATTTCTTTGCGGAGTGTAGCAGTGAGCAGGAGTGAAAGAAACCGCTTCAAACTTTTGCTCAACAATGCAGATACAGTCAAGCGACCTCAGCGAGAGAGAGAGAGAGAGAGAGAGAGAGAGAGAGAGAGAGAGAGAGAGAGAGAAAAGGCAGACAGAGACAGGGCGAAGTTTGTTTTAATAAATACTTTCATTGTGTATGCAGCCTCAGCATCCGCAGCAACAGCAACCGCATCCTCACCTGCCTCCAGCTGAGTCAGATGAAGAGATAGTGTCTTAAGAGTATGGAGAATGATGGAGATGGAAGGGATTGGGGGGAGGTGGAGCAGAGGTTGTCACTGTTGATGACGGGCAAGTTTCTTAAGAATTTAGTGCTCGCTGCTGCTCATCATCGACATTACTTTGGCAAAGTTGAGATTGTTGACAATAGATGTGCAGCCGGCGGGAAACAATCATCAACAGCCGCAGACGATGGTAAATGCAAAAATTACTCAATTCTTTTTAATAGCATGAACTTTGCCATTTGTTGTTGTTTTCGTTTGTTGTTATTCCTGTTGCAATTAAGCAAAACTTTTTCAAGTTTGAGCTGCAAATAAATGCGTACCTTATTTAAATATAGACACTCTTATTCTACTTGCTCTCTGTCTACGCTGTCTGTGCCTGTGCCTGCAGGGCGAATGAGTTGTTTACAAAAGGCAGAACAAAATCACATCACATTTTTTTCACGGCTGCAGGCGTTGTCTGGCGTAGTTGATATAATTCTGACTCTATACATACATATTAATATTATTTATTTATTTGTTTGCTGTAACTTTGATTTCATGTATACATATTCATTTACTATATTTATTTATGCTCTTATTTTTTTGTGATATATTCGCTGAATTTTTTTCGATGGGCCTCATTTAGCGTAGTCGTCGCCATAAACTACACATTAGCAGATACCGGAAATGGTTTTGAGAAAAAGCGATGTTTTCTATTTATAGCAACAATGCAACACACATCTGGCTGGCAACAGTTTTTCCCCATGTCATAATTTATTCTTTTTTTTTTTGGGAGCCGCAGGCAAAGTTAATTAGTTGTGATTTTTCAAAGAACATTCAAATCGAAGGCAGCCGAGTGAAAAACACAAACAAATAAACTCGGCTCCGGGCTGTGCAACGCTGTGGCAAAGGCGGGTGCAGTGGCGGTGGCATGCAATGCAGGCACATGTTGAGTGTATAAAATTTTGATGAATGTTTTGTTTACGGCAGCTGACAAGGGGTTGCCTTTGCCACGCCCCTCCCCAAAATGTCCCAGCCTCCGGGCTGTGCGTGGGTGTGCGAACATGTTGTGTGGATATATATACGGCAGCAGTCAAAATAATAGAAGTGCTGCTTCTCAAATCACTTCATAAAAACGTTACTCATTTTATGGTGCTCAAATCAAGATCACTTATAAATCTTCAATAATTCAATTCAATTTTTCATAAGTTTTCATAATTTTTTAACTGTATTTTAAATCTATTTCTTCTTAACATTTTCCAGAACATATGTGTGCACTACTATTATTTTGACCGCAGCTGTATATACGCCTGGGATGCAACGCACATGTCAGCCCCCTCGGCAGACAAGCCACAAGTTGCTAAATGGCAATTGAATGTGAATTGTATTGAACAGCAGTAGTAGGGGGAGTCTCATTCCTTTCTCTCCCCCTCCCGACTCCGATTCGTGGCCATGTTGCACGCCTCTGTGAACTCTACACGCCCCGCTGGTGCTGATGCAACAGATGCCATAAATAATGCAGCATAAACAGCGACGGCAGCTAATTAACAAGAAATGCGCAATCCAAACCAAAATTTCTTTTTGGGGGCCAGCTGCAAGCCAGGTAAAGTTTGGTGGCAGGGGTTTGGGGGCAGTTACATAAAATGCCTGCGGCTGCATTTACTTAGTTTTTCCCAATCAAATTCAGTCTGTCTACGCCGAATAATAATTTAAATATCTGGCCTCCAGCAAACCTGAGCAACAAATACAACAGCAACAAAACAGAAAATGCCATTTGAGCTGCGGCATGCTAACAAGTCAGGCATCAACAGCAACAACAAAATGCGTGCTTTGGCAAAAAAAAAAAGAATCCAAATAATGGAATAAAAGGGGGAGAAAGGAGGTAAAAACTTAAGAGCCGCGAGCAAAAACAGGAAAAACACACAAAAAAGGGAGAAAAGCGGCAAGAAATTAGTTTCGCTGGCGAACAATGTCCTAGTTGTTGTTGTTCTTGTTTCTCTGTTACTGTTGTTGCGGGTGCAAAGCTGCCAAAGAGCAGAACGAATGCAAACACACACACACCCACACACACACACAACAAAGAAAGCAGGTCTCTCCTCTCTCTCTCTCTCTCCCCGGAAAATGCCTTTGCGAATAAAAGCAAAAGAAATTCAAATTTTCTCTGTGTGTGTGTGTTTGTGAAAAATGGCAATGCAAAAAGTCGCTTAGTTTTCGATGTAAAAGAGCAAAACTATGCAAGCCACAAACATTCGTAGACAACAACAACGAGAGTCAAGTCAGATAAGCGTAAAGAAGCAAAGAAAAAAGAGGGAAGAATGCTTTAGTTGGGTGAGTTCGACTGGGATATACCCTTTTTTGCGATCTGGATGACATTTGTGTAGCTGATCAAGAAGATGCCAATGTATTTTAATGTAAATCGCTTAGAAGCGTCTGCCTCCATAAGTGTAGCTTTTATTGCTTTCGGAAATCGCGAAACGGTGAAATGCCCGGGTAGAACAGAACTTATATAAACAGTTAAAGACAGAAATGGCTAAATCAACTCGACTGTTGATCCCGATATGGAATATATATACTTTATGGGCTTCCTTCTGCATGTTACA